ACTGGCAGCTTTCCTTCGTTGAACATCTCGAAGAACCTCTCGACCAGCGGCCACACTGCGACACTGGATGTGGCGAGGTTCATGTAGCCCTGGAGTTTATTACTCCAATCCTTACTGTACTCATTCTCGAGAGCTTACTTTACAAACGCCTTGTCGCATGCCTTTCTCATGCAGGCCCTCAAGAAGTTCTGCCACGTCTTCTGATGTGCAACGGCCACCTCATCCTTCTCGCTGACCTTGGCTTTCGGGGCCTCGATTCTATTGTTGTCTATCCACCATTGCCTGATGTCACGGACAGCGTTCTCGAATGACAACATCATGGAGCGATTTTCGCGTGTGTTGTCGAAGCAGGAGACATTGAAATACCCTCGTGTTTGATCATCTCCGAAATAGACGACCCGCACCTTAGAGTACGCGTTGAGGCCATAAACTTTAATTGCCGGGGAGCCCTTTCTGACCAATCTCTTCATGGCCTCAACGGTATGCTGACCACAGACAGCGTACCAGTCGAACTCTGCCGGGTCCCTTTCCAAGAATTCGGTCGGCGTGATCCGTCTTCCCTGGCCGCCGGCAATGTCATTGCGGTCAACTGGCGCAAGCACGAGCTCGAGCCTATCCCACGCCCCCGGGTCCGTGCTGATAAAGCTTTCGATGGCATTCTCGATGCCTCGCACAATGTTTTCCGACAACGAGCGGTGGTTGAAAAGAATCCTTCCGCGGGGAATGCGTTTGATTCTCATGACGTCCACGTGAAGAGCATGAACGTCTTGCGTAGCAAAGCCTTGGTCGTCGTATTCGAGGAAGAAACAACGCGTAGTGTCGATGGGCGCGACGCGCTGAGCCGGCTCATCAACATCTTCGGGCATGTGAGGATCCACTCCCTCGCCCTCATCCCCCGAGTCCCACAGCTCTTGTGGTCTCACCCTCTGGGAGCCTTTCCGCGCCCCTCCACGGCCACCGCCCCCACGGCCACCGCCTTGACCCCCAGATCGCCCCCTTTGACTGTTCTTCCGAGGAGGCCGCGCCTCCTGGGACGCTGTCAAAGCTCCACGAGCCTCATTAACAGCGTCAGTCCTGGCTTGCCTCTTGTGAGTAGAAGCAGACGGAGAAGTCTCCCTTGTTCTTTTCCTCGCCTTCGGTCCTTGCATTGCATGTGAGTCGTGCCCACCCTTACTCCTGCTTTGCGATAGCGAAATTCCATGGGACGTCGAGGGCTGACCAATAGCGGCTCCCACAGCGCCGGCGGGGGAGATGTCATGACCATGCATTGGCGTGTCGGCGTCCTCGTCAGCAAGCCCGCCCTGGTCCTCCATGTTGTCATCCCCAACTTCCACATCTACTTCATTACCGCCGTCGTCATGCGGCCCAGCACTTCCTCCTTCCTCATCCTCGTTGTTGTCCTCGTCCAGGGCAATTGCACTGCCTTGGGAATTCTCACGGCCAACATTGCGCTGGTGCAGAAGCCTGTCATCAAACTCCATTGCCTCGCTTGAACCTTGAGCCAAATCACGACCTCCCCTTACGGAGGGCGAGGGAAGATTCGCGCCCGACGGCCCACCCGGCAACTGCTTTGTCTTCCCTGTCGTCGCGGACGACGTTTGTCGCCTGCTCTTGGAACCCGCCTCGAAGTGCAAAAAAACACAGTCCGTTTGCTGATCAGGCGGCAGCTTCGAGAAGTCTGCCCTGTACCGCTTAACCACACCTGGCAGCAGGTCCATCGGACTGTTGAATTGGACCAAAGGTTTGCTCATCCGGAAAGAAGTGTCGACAACAGGAAGGCAGCCAGTGACGCGGTTGGCATTTGTTTTGCTGAGAAATTCTTCCGGAGAAAGCATTCGGAATTCAGTTCCGTCCCCACACACGTCAAACGCTTTCATGGAGAAAGCCTTGACGCCGTATCTTAGGAAGAGACGCAGGTCAAGGGAGACATTCTTGTCTTCCTTGACCCAGTCCGTCCCAGCGCTGTCGAAGGCGGACGTGAGGAAGAAGGTCCTAAACGTCCTCCCTTCGTAGGTCTTTCTGCCCGCCTCAGATTTCTCCACACCCCCACAACAGTACCAAGTGGCGCCATTGTCATCGCTCAAGAAGATAACAGCCCCACMCCCCGGTTTATGCAAMCCGCCTACCCAGTCAAGAGCCCACGGTTTGTTGTTGTAAGTCTTAGACCTGCCGTACCGTTTATTTTGAGCAGAGGTCGGCGCACCAGATTTACCTGCCGGTGGCAAATGCAAAACAAAGACGAGCAGGAGAACAACAATGAGCACCACACAGAAACACTTGCACGTGGTCCGAGACATGCAAGAAGGCACGTGACCCGCCATACGCCCGCCATCTTTTCGGGAACGCTGCATACCAGACAACCATGCATGGTCGAGGGGTCCGGCGTTCCCAATCCGCCGGACCGTCGCCATCCTTTCGAGGCAGGACGTCGAGGGTTTCCATTCCGATGCCCCCCCCCTCCCCACCCAGGAAGGATGGCGGGGGCAGGGCGTTTCGGGAACGCCCGACCCCCGACCGAGCATGGGTGTCGGAGGTCCGGCGTTTCCAATCCGCCGG